TGTATATATAATCATACTTTAATTAGAATGTGTGATATATATATATATATATAATCACACTTATTTAAAAAGTGCGATTAAAAAGTAGTAGTGTATATATAATCACACTTTAATTAAAATGTGTGAATATATATATATATATATAATCACACTTATTTAAAAAGTGCGATTAAAAAGTAGTAGTGTATATATAATCACACTTTAATTAAAATGTGTGATTAAAAATATATATATATAATCGCACCTATTTAGGAAGTGTGATTAAAAAGTAGTAGTGTATATATAATCACACTTTAATTAGAATGTGTGATTAAAAAATATATATATAATCACACTTGTTTAAAAAGTGTGATTAAAAAGTAGTAGTGTATATATAATCACACTTTAATTAGAATGTGTGATTAAAAAATATATATATAATCACACCTATTTAGGGAGTGTGATTAAAAAGTAGTAGTGTATATATAATCACACTTTAATTAGAAGGTGTGATTAAAAAATATATAAATAATCTCACTTTAATTAGAATGTGTGATTAAAAAAAATATATATAATCACACTCGTTTAAAAAATGTGATTAAAAAGTAGAATTGTATATATAATCACACTTTAATTAGAATGTGTGATTAAAAAATATATAAATAATCACACTTTAATTAGAATGTGTGATTAAAAAATATATATATAATCACACTTTAATTAGAAGGTGTGATTAAAAATATATATATATAATCACACTTAATTGAAAAGTGACATAAAAAATAAATATTATCACACTCAATCAAATTAAATGTGATTAAAATAACAATCTAAGTTTTTTTATCACGCTTCCAATAAAAGTGAGATCTTTTCTTTTGTCAAAGTGTGATCTTTAACTATTTTTGTAGTAGTGAAGATAGAGATATAAGGAGATAGAGATACAAGGAGATGGAGATAGAGATATAGATAGAGATAGAGATACAAGATAAAGATAGAGATAGAGATAGAGATGGGATAGAGATACAAATAGATAAATATAATATAATAATATTGACAGTATGTATAATGGAAATTCTATATATATGTAGAGAGAGAGATGATCTGTGAAGAATACTTTTGTTGCTCTAATATGATGAATATTGGTGGTCTCTCCGTATAAATACATGTAGTATGTGTATTGTAGTATGTGTATTGTATGATCTTCAGAATTTAAAGAAACAACAAGCAATTGGAGCCTTACAAGAGGACTCGAAGTGTGGATCAGTTCTCTTGCAGCAACCTCAAAAGCCAAGAAAAGCATAAGGATCAAAAGGACCTTCAAAACCACAAAAACCTTTTCTAAAGCCATTTTTCACCATTACAAGGAAGGGCATTTAGAGGTCACCATTTTTATAACACAAGTAATAGTTGCTTTCATTTTCTACCAATTTAATTTGTGGGGCCAAGAAGACTTGTTGAATTTTGGGTCTCAGGCCATAAATTAGAATGTGGTTAGCTTGTCTCCAGTCTATACAGTCATTGGACTGGTTCAGTAATCACAGATCATATTTCAATAATCTACATTGTTAATTTTGTATATGTATATCGTATAAAAAAATTATATTAATCCAATAATTGTAGACACTTAAACATTTTAAAAGTAAAAATAAAAAAAGATGACAAATATAAATTTAGAAACAAACCGTTCTTTTTTTTAAAAAAAAATAAATTTAAATAAATTAAGTGACTATAACTTTTAGATCAATATAATTTTTTTTGCATAGATATACACAAGAGATTAAAAAAATTAGAGATTCAAATTATCAAAATAAGACCCGTGTGAGCGCACGAACCCTTGCTAGACTAGAGTGGGCTGGATGTAAGCTAAGTTGAATTAGAAAACAATGGTAACTCGCAATTTTTAAGCAGTGTTTATATTTTTAATTGACTCAATCTTGACTATTAATTTTAAATTTTGTGTCAATTTGGTCTATTTAATAACACCATTAGGATTTTTGACGGAAAGCAATTACTGAATTAATTAAGATTAACTCATTGAGTTAAGCAAATTTATAATTTTGCTCTTGAAAGCATGAAACATGCCACATGTGTGCGTATTTTCTACAAAATAATATTAACAATTGTAATTAATTGGACGAAATTGAGACAAATTTATAAATTTAAAATCAAAATTAAGTCAATTGAAATTAAAGTAATCGAAATAACTCAATGACTAAAATATAGGAGCTACTGATATAATTCTCAAATAAAAAATAAAAATAAAAATATCATCAAATAAAGTCATCTCTGTCTGTTAAAGCAGAATTGGATCTGTGAAAATTTTGAAATGAGTTGGTTTTGATCCGAAGGAAGAACCCAAAGTCTTATAATATTTCAACCACATTAACTACTTCAACTACTGAGAAATTACAATTAATAT